TTACATGATTTATTCAAGTGAACCGATTCACTAGAATGAATTAGACTGTCCAATCCTACATATGAGAGAGAGAGTGCAAAATTGGTGCAAACCATTGGTCGGACAAATCAATTATATCAACCCAAATTCATATCAATGGTTAAGAGATTTTGTTTAGATGCTCAAAAAATAAAGGTTGTGCGTTGGCATCTATGGTTCCTTGAAGAACCGTTTCATTGTTCCAAGATTCATGCAACCTTTCCATTGTACAAAAGGTTTCTTATAGTGGTTCTTTAGATCCTTAAATTGTTCTTCACACTAAGAAAAATGGTTCTTTTAATAATTGTTTACTGAAAGATTCTTTGGGGAACCCAAAATGGTTCTTCTTTGGCATTTAGTCTTAAAAATAAAGGTTCTTTATGGGCATCAGTTGTTCCATGAAGAACCTTCAACATCCATGGAAACTTTTCTTTGCACAAAAGGTTATTTGTGACCCTGTACCACAAAACCAGTCATAAGTAGCACGGTATATTTGTAGCAATAGCCAAAAATACACTGTATGGGTCAAAATTATTGACTTTACTTTTATGCCAAAAATCATTAGGATATTAAGTAAAGATCATGTTCCATGAAGATATTTTGTAAATTTCCTACCGTAAATATATCAAAACTTAATTTTTGATTAGTAATATGCATTGCTAAGAACTTCATTTGGACAACTTTAAAGGCGATATTCTAAATATTTTGTTTTTTTTTGCACCCTCAGATTCCAGATTTTCAAATAGTTGTATCTTGGCCAAATATTGTCCTATCCTACCAAACCATACATCAATGAAAAGCTTATTTATTCAGCTTTCAGATGATGTATCAATCTCAATTTTGAAAAATTGACCGTTATGACTGGTTTTGTGGTCCAGGGTCACATTTATGGGTTCTTCAGTTTTGTAAAATGTTCTTCTCAAATGGTTATTTTAAAAACTGTTCACTGAAAATGGTTCTTCTGAGGCATCGCCCTCAGAACCCTTTTGGAACTTTTGTTTTTAAGAGTGAACCAACAGCAATGATTTCTGGGATATAAATCTATGAACAGCTTACTTATAGTTGTTGATTCTGTGTATTAAATTGGGAAAAGATGAAGTATTGAAACCAACCCCATCTCCAAAAATTGGAGAACAGAGTGTGCATGTCCCTGTTTGAACCATTTTTGGGTCTCCGATGCTTGTCAGCATTGAGAAACACCGTCATCTGAGTTTATTTCCGAAGCTGTTTGAGGGAATTAGATGCAGAGGCGGTATTTCAGAATCCTGTCTGGAGCTCAACATGTTCTGGCTCTGCCACTGTCTGAATCATTAATGAGGCCGTTGTGAGACCGAGAGCAAGAGAAAATAAGACCTGACCTCTAAATATGACAAGAACAAGAGGATTACTTCTGCTACTCTTTTTGTGCTCTGCATGAGAGCCTAGCGATTCTTCAGCAGATACAACATGTTCACCTCCAAATCAGATAATAAATCCTGAAGTAATCTTCTCAGGGTTATGAAGAATAATGGTGAGATTAGGTTTAGCAATTTGAGGGTTTATAGTGAGAATTATGATTCCAATAGTTAGCATCTTGATTCTAAGCCTGATGTTAGCCATGTTGCTGAGCTAAAGTATGCTAATACAAAAGTTTTGAGTCAGTTTTTTTTCCAGAAATTAATACTTTTTATTCAGTGAGGATACATTAAATTGATCAAAAGCAACAGTAAACATTCATAATACTACAAAAGTTTTTTTCAAACTTTCAGAATCCTGAAAAACAAAATTTCACAAATATTAAGCAACATTTAACATTAATATTAATAATGAATGTTTATTGAGCAAATCAGCATTAGAATGATTTCTAAAGGATCACGTGACACTGAAGACTGGAGTAATGATGCTGAAAATTCAGCTTTGCATCACAGGAATAAATTACATTTTAAAATATATGAAAATTAAAACTTTGAATTGTAATAATATTTTACAATATTACTGTTTTTGCTGTATTTTTGACCAAAGGCCTAAAGGCCTAATTAAGAGATTTCTTAAGACTGTTTGGTACAAAAACATACACACATGCAAATATTAGATTAAATAGTTGTTTTTAATGATATAGAACTATTTTCTATCAATTTTCAATACTGAGTTTATTGCAATGCATTCTGGGATTGCCTATTGCAATATGATACACCCAATGCTGCTTGACATTTTTGTCAAAATTATATGTATATGTTTGAATTTTGTCAATGTTTTGACTAATTGTCAGTATCCAACAGAAGTGTATATTTTGAACACGCTTTACTGTAAACAAAACTCAAACTCAGTGTAGAATATTCTGAGAAAGTTTGCATGTTTTGACTAGGACTTTTTTTAAGGCAGCACTTTTGCTGTGTGATATTTTGAATAGTCAAGAGTGCATCTACGATGCTGTCTAGATAGATAGGAACCTCCCGTCCGCTTTGAAAGAATGAGGTCGCACTGAGAAAAAAGACCAATTGCGATGAATGTCTCCTCAGTTTAAAGTCCAGTGCCGCTCTGATTTGAATGGAAGAGTGAATGGAAGAAAAAAAAAAAAACGTACTCAAAGGAAATGGTATCACACACACACACACACACACACACAAACAGCACAGTTCACACATATGTGCTGAGGCAGCGAGTAACAAATCTCCACTGACAGGCGTGATATGATATGATATGATATTGATATATGATATCTCGATGGGCACAAATGTGAAGATTCTAGTCTGGCAGCTCGTTCCGCCCCTGCTTCTCTGAAAGATGTCATCTAAAACCATTAACATTCACATAAAACACCCTTTATGATTTCATGCCTGCATGTCTGGCTGTCAGACAGTCACTTAAATGTACGTCAGGTGTTTGGCCGACTGCCCTGTTTTGCAGATATGTGATTCCCTGTCTTGTGTCTCTTGTAATTCCAGCTCCCAGCAACTGTTTAGAAATTCATTTTTTAATGCTTTGTTCCTAGACGGCGTCCCCTGGCTCACGATTTTCTCGATGGGCACAAATGTGAAGATTCTAGTCTGGCAGCTCGTTCCGCCCCTGCTTCTCTGAAAGATGTCATCTAAAACCATTAACATTCACATAAAACACCCTTTATGATTTCATGCCTGCATGTCTGGCTGTCAGACAGTCACTTAAATGTACGTCAGGTGTTTGGCCGACTGCCCTGTTTTGCAGATATGTGATTCCCTGTCTTGTGTCTCTTGTGGCGGACACACACATTTATAATTCCAGCTCCCAGCAACTGTTTAGAAATTCATTTTTTAATGCTTTGTTCCTGGACGGCGTCCCCTGGCTCACGATTTTAATCTCTTGAGCAGAATGTTGATGTGGGAAGGTCTGGTGATCTCGTAGACTCATGAAAAGCACAATCTTATTCCAACTGCTAACACTAGATGGGTTTGCGTTTGGGAAGGTGGGAGAAAATGGAAAGGAAGAGCGAGAGGGAGCGAGTTGTAGAGGAGATCGGTTAAAAGTGCACTAGAGGTCACTTCCTCTCTGGTGACCAGATTTTGCTGAGCTTAACTCATAAGCAAACATCTTTAGTCATTGTGAAAGTTAATGTCAGTAGGTCATAACATAAAACTAGCAGGGTCAGAGGTCAAACTGTGACATGATGTGATGATTGGCTTGGCTAAAAAAAAAAAAAGTAAAATAGGGGGTTGAGTCCATAGATAGCTCTATCTAGATATTCCATGTCAATGGGCGAGTCCATTAGAATTCCTTATGCAATTTTTCATTATTATTTATTTAAAATAATTATATTTAAAAAGCTATATGCATGTTTGTATAGCCTATATGTACTGTATGTATTTGTTTTTATTTTTTACTTTTTTGTATATCTTCTTTTTTTATTCTACTGTTATTCAGTAAGGATGCATTAAATTGATCAAAAATGACAATGAAGACATGTATAATGTTACAAAAGATTTCTGTTTCAAATAAATGCTATTCTTTTGAACTTTCTATTCATAAAAAAATCCTGAGAACAATGTATCACAATACTGGCTGCTTAAAATTCAGCTTTGCCTTCATAGGAATAAATACTATTGTGTATAATATTGCGTATAATATTAAAATGTATTAAAATGGAAAACATTTATTTTAAATTGTAATAATATTTCACAGGAATAGTGTTTTACAATACTTGTCATCAAATAAATGCAGCTGGGTTGAGCATAATATTTATATATTCTAATAATATTTAACTATGTAAAACTTTATAATATTACGTAAATAAAGTAAATGTTAAAGTAAATATAATAAATCTCAATTATTTATTTTCAGTATATTTTCTAATATTATATATTATATAAATATTGTAGAAAATAAATAAATGTAATTTAAATATTACATAATAATACAACAACAACTAAACATTAAAATACTATATTAATTTATAAATGTAAATATTATTAATTTTTACATTTAGTATTAACATTACTACTCTAGTAGTATTTAGTATTGTTTTCGAGGGATGTATCATAATATTTACTTTGATCTAATCTACATTTATCATAATATTTTCTATATATTGTTATAAAGAAAACATTTTAACATTTTATGTTTACTTTGTTTTATACAAGTAACTATAAAGCAAACATAATATTTACTTTTATTTTATAATAAATAGGCTACTCCAAAACTCTGCAAGTAGAAAAGATAAGTGAATAATAGTGCCCTGTTTGTCAGACAGCCAGTTCATATCTGAATGAGCATTTTTTTTCCACAATAAATGAGCACTGCCTTTCCCACCTAGAAGCCAAACTAATGTTTTGTAAGTATTTGCTTATCTTGACAAATGCAAATGCGGCATGGATGAAGTGAGCAGTATTATGGCATAACAGGGCAACGGTAGTGTCCTTTGTATTATTACCAGAACACCTGCCTGAGAGATTAGTCACGTGACTCATATCACACTTACAGTTATATCATAAGCTAAAACTAACCCGTCTCCCCCTCTGTTTCGGGTACAGAAAGGTCTTTGGGTTTGGTCATGGACGAGCAGGCTGGCAGCGCGGGCAACAGCCCTCAGCACGGCCGTGGATCAGCCAAGCAGATCGTTCTCCGCTGCGGTTGGCTCCGGAAGCAAGGCGGCTTCGTGAAGACCTGGCACACGCGCTGGTTCGTCCTGCGAGGAGACCAGCTGTACTACTACAAAGATGAGGACGAGACCAAAGCTTTGGTGAGTGGCTGCTGATTTGGGATTCCATCATTTACTCACTCATTTTTAAAACTGACAGTTCGCGTCTTTACATGCAAACATACACAGATGTGCACATTACGCTGTTTAAAGTCTACCAGTTCATTCACACGCAACTATCACGACATTCTCCGAGTTCAAATCTCGAGCCAAGATGCAAACAAGAGAGGTCATAATATTTACTTTGATCTAATCTACATTTATCATAATATTTTCTATATATTGTTATAAAGAAAACATTTTAACATTTTATGTTTACTTTGTTTTATACAAGTAACTATAAAGCAAACATAATATTTACTTTTATTTTATAATAAATAGGCTACTCCAAAACTCTGCAAGTAGAAAAGATAAGTGAATAATAGTGCCCTGTTTGTCAGACAGCCAGTTCATATCTGAATGAGCATTTTTTTTCCACAATAAATGAGCACTGCCTTTCCCACCTAGAAGCCAAACTAATGTTTTGTAAGTATTTGCTTATCTTGACAAATGCAAATGCGGCATGGATGAAGTGAGCAGTATTATGGCATAACAGGGCAACGGTAGTGTCCTTTGTATTATTACCAGAACACCTGCCTGAGAGATTAGTCACGTGACTCATATCACACTTACAGTTATATCATAAGCTAAAACTAACCCGTCTCCCCCTCTGTTTCGGGTACAGAAAGGTCTTTGGGTTTGGTCATGGACGAGCAGGCTGGCAGCGCGGGCAACAGCCCTCAGCACGGCCGTGGATCAGCCAAGCAGATCGTTCTCCGCTGCGGTTGGCTCCGGAAGCAAGGCGGCTTCGTGAAGACCTGGCACACGCGCTGGTTCGTCCTGCGAGGAGACCAGCTGTACTACTACAAAGATGAGGACGAGACCAAAGCTTTGGTGAGTGGCTGCTGATTTGGGATTCCATCATTTACTCACTCATTTTTAAAACTGACAGTTCGCGTCTTTACATGCAAACATACACAGATGTGCACATTACGCTGTTTAAAGTCTACCAGTTCATTCACACGCAACTATCACGACATTCTCCGAGTTCAAATCTCGAGCCAAGATGCAAACAAGAGAGGTGAGGACAGAGTGACCTGCTTTTTACCTCACTGAATGATGACTTGTCACGGTTCTTCATCTAACAATGGAGATTTTTATCCTCGAGGTCATGCAGCTGGACAAAAGTGTTTACTATGGAATCAGGCGGGAATTTGAGAAGGTTCCATAAATCTGCCTTAAAACCATCCCGCCTTGTGCCTCCACTGAGAGGAAGACGGGCTTTTGCCCACAGGAATATTAAAGATTTATACCTTCACGTCCAAGTTTTAAGATTCAATTCAAACATCTTTGAAGTTCCATGTTCAGCTTTAATTTTCATGTTTAATGCACTGTTTGAGCTTGTCGCAGGTTTCGTCAGCAGTCAGATATTGGATTTCAAGGGTAGGCAGCTTCTTCGTTCAGGGTTTTCGTTGACAAAGCTATCAAAGGACACTGAATACGACTTCTGAAGGAAACGAGAGGCTTTGAAGTTCTTCAGACGACTATATTTGAGGTTTTTAAAATACTTAGTGAAGGATAGATGGTGTGACGCTCTTCCAGAATCCACTGGCAAATATTTACACAAATATGAGACAGTCTTCTATCAAAATACTAACGTCTGCCCATGTTTTCATATAAATAATGCAATGCAACTCTGGAAGTATTCAAAGTAAATATTATAATAAATAATATAAACAGATTTTTTTTTTATCATATTATAAATATTTTGTCTAATATTATTTACTATGTATAGCTTTAACATATGAAGTGTGTAAATCTTAATTCACAAAGTATGTAAATCTTAATGATTTATTATTATTATTATTATTATTATACATTTGTATTATAGTGATCATATCTGCTTTATAATATTTGCATGATAATATATATATATATATATATACACACACACACACACACACACACACTTTAGTCTTAATTTATTGTAGATAGAATAAAGAGAGATTTATCATAATATTTACTTTTATATTTATCATAATATACTTCATTTTGCACAGTAAACATTTTATTACATTATTTTCTAGCAATATTGACTGTATGTATATAACTTTATATTATTATTAAGTATAATATATAAATAAATATCAATGATTTGTTATTGTATTTCTTTGTTAAAATAACCATATGTGCTTTATGGTTATAATATTTGCATTATAATAATTACTTTTGTACACTAGTTTTAATAATACTTGAATTGCGAATGGAAAGGCAGACATGAGTCAGTGTCTGTTATGACAGGCTGTTGTTGACACAATAACCAGACCCTCAACCATAAAAGAGCCGCTTTTGCTTTTTCTTTGCATATTGTTTAATCATTGGCATAAACTATTCCATATGCGCAGAACTAGTCAAAATAGTTCCATGGATGTGTGCTGGTCTCAGAGGTCTCTATGGCAACGGTTTGCAGTGTTACAGGGAAAACCACTGACAGCACATCAGACAGAAGATTCAAATCATGTTTTGACTTTCTGTGCTTAGACAGAGAGTCAGAGAGAGAGGAAAGTATATCTGCTCTGTATTCTGCAACCATCTAATGAGAAACAGACAATTGTTCACTGCTTAACAAACAGGCTTTCTAAAAGTTCTGCAACCAGCCAGCCATCGCTTTCCAGTTGGAAACATAGATACAGCATCCATCCATCCATCATCCATCTAACTGTCCATCCATCTAACTATCCATCCATCCAACCATCCATCTGTCCGTCCATCCATCGTCCATCTATCTGTCCATCCAACTATCCATCCATCAATCTATCCATCCATCCATCCAACCATCCATTCATCCATCCGTCCGTCCATCCATCCATCCATCGTCCATCTATCTGTCCATCCATCTAACTATCCATCCGTCCATCTATCATCCATCTATCCATCCATTCATCCATCCATCCATCCATCCATCGTCCATCTATCTGTCCATCCATCTAACTATCCATCCGTCCATCTATCATCCATCTATCCATCCATTCATCCATCCATCCATCCATCCATCGTCCATCTATCTGTCCATCCATCTAACTATCCATCCGTCCATCTATCATCCATCTATCCATCCATTCATCCATCCATCCATCCATCCATCGTCCATCTATCTGTCCATCCATCTAACTATCCATCCGTCCATCTATCATCCATCTATCCATCCATTCATCCATACATCCATCCATCCATCCATACATCCGTCTATCTATCTATCCATCCATCCATCCATCCATCATACATTTTATAGTTTATTTGATTAAATAATAAATTGTATTATATTTATTGATTTAAAATGACTAATAAATACTTGTATTATTACTTTTATTCAGCAAGGATGCACTAAATCCAGCCATCCATCGCTTTCCAGTTGTAAACATAGATACAGCATCCATCCATCCATCATCAGTCTAACTATCCATCCATCTAACTATCCATCCATCCAACCATCCATCTGTCCGTCCATCGTAAATTTTATAGTTTATTTTATTAAATAATACATTTTATTATATTTATTGCATTAAAATGATTTTGCTTCTTTGCACATTGGTTATAAACTTTTATTATTGATTTATTTATACTACAGATCCAAGTTTGAGGTCTGTATACATCAGTCTAACTATCCATCCATCTAACTATCCATCCATCCAACCATCCATCTGTCCGTCCATCGTAAATTTTAGTTTATTTTATTAAATAATACATTTTATTATATTTATTGCATTAAAATGATTTTGCTTCTTTGCACATTGGTTATAAACTTTTATTATTGATTTATATACACTACTGATCCAAGTTTGGGGTCTGTATATATATATATATATATATATATACACACACACACATACATTTATTAATACTTTTATTCAGCAAGGATGCATCAAATAGATCAAATTTGAATTTGATTTGAATATTATATTATATTATATTTAATTATTTAATTATATTTTATATTTTATAATATAATATAATATAATATAATATAATTTACATTATTTTATTTTATTGTAAATCTAGTATTAACTTTATTCTGTCTATATATGCATTATAATATTTAAACATCAGAATATATATTGTATTAAAAAAAAAGATAATCAACACCTACTTTTTATGGGCTATATTATGTTTTATTATGAAGTAAAGTAAGTTTTTATTTTACTGTTTACTATTATTTATGAAAAGATGGATTACAATGTATATTATATAGCTTTCCCAAAAAGTGAAGAGCTTGAAAAAAGTCACACTCTCAAAACTCTCGCACACAAAAAGCACACTCTCAAACATCAGAAAGTCACAAGCGAGATTAAAGTAATATGAGCAATTTACTGAATAAAAACAAGACAAACGTTTCGGTCACATGTTGACCATTTTCAATGCCAAGCTAACAAGGTTAGAACTAGGAAATGCTGCAGTCATTCAGCTTCTGCATTCGAATATAATTAAACAGTGATATTTAGTCTTTTGGCAGCTTTCACAAGATCCAGCATGACTTCAGTTCAGCATATTGACAGAATCAAACAGTAAGGAAAATGCTCCTGTCTGATAGCAACAGCTTCAAAGCCTTTGAACAATCTGCATATGTGCAAACTTTTAAAGTCAGAGCTGCTTTTGATCTTCTAAATGCAGTTGTTTTGTGAAAGTCGGCACAGGGTGTTTAAGTGAGAAAAGTTTGTAAAAACGCCTTCGCCTTATAAGACATCGCTCTTCGCTTTGCTTCCCTGTGCATGTCTTTCTTAGATAGCAAGAAAAATGACACTAAAAGGTTGAAAGTTCCTAAAAAAATCAGTCTGTCTTCCCATGGTGCACCTCTTTTTGACATGCACAAACAAGGCAAGAGTACTAAAGAGTACTCTTTTGGCATATTTCAGCATATTTCTAGTCATCTAAACAAAAAAACATGACACTGAACATCTGAAATTATGCGTCACCCACATTTTGAATATAGCATTTAAACACATGCCCGCCTTTCCAAACATATTCTGTCTCCGTCCATCTCTCCAGCCTACACACCGAAGGTTAAGAGCTGGAGGGCAAACGGAAAGAACACCCGCCGGCCCACAATGCATCTGTTGTTCTGCTCTGTTTTATGTATGAGATCCCTTATGCTCTTCAAGATGTGGAATATTACAGCCTGCCAGGGAAGACAATACAAGACCTGTCAGTGAAGTGAACACAGATGTATATTTTGAAGCGTTTGTGTCCACCTATAATGTGTGAGAAGTGTCTTTGTCTACTTATAATGACCCTTAGAAACAGGCTGTTTTTGATACTTTACTTTTAAGACTGCTGTATGTTGTGATTGTCTAACCTTCACATGCTAACACCGTCCTTCATCAGGCCTAGTAGTTGAATACTCAATAGGTATGATATGTAAACACAGGCAGTCATGTGCTTATGTAAAGTCACAATCGTGACAATTTTGACCCATTTTTGCTCCAGTGGAGTTTGGGGGCGAATTTTTTTCAGAATACCAAACAGTATGCTTAAGCATTTCCTATTATTAGTATCAAATGATACATAGACAAAATGCAAGTATAGTTATTTTTTATTTTATTGTAAATTTTAATATATTTACTTTTTATTATAATCAATTTGATTGTTTATTGCATTTTTTTATTTTTAAGTGAAAATGTATTATAATTTATTATAAACCTTTATTATTGATTTTCATATACTACCATTCAAAAGTTTGGGTCAGTAAGATTTTTTTTTAATTAATACTTTTATTCATCTAGTACGCATTTAATTGATCAAAAGTGACAGTAAAGATATTTATAATGTTACAGGAATATTTCTATTTAAAATAAATTCTCACTTTCGGATATGAGACTTCTTTTTTTTTTTTTTTTACAAACATTTTAACGACCTCTTATTATAGCATATACTATATATTTGTTATTATATAGTTTTTTTATTATAGTATACATTTATTATATTCAATATAATATGATTTAAAATATAAAATATATTTTATTGTAAATGTATTATAAACTTTATTCTGTCTATACATTATAATACATTGACATCTAAATGTGTATTGTATTAAAACAGATGATCAACACATAAATTAGTAATTAATATTTATTTTTACTGTACTTTTTATAAGAGACTGACAAAATAATCAAAAACAAACTTTTGAATTCTAGTGCAAGTTCTGTTATTTATATTATATGTAATTGATATCATATTATTTTTATTATACACTTCATTATATTTACTATACAAAATGTAATATAACATTATAATTAATATAATAATTAAAATAAATATACATGATTTTATTGTATTGTTTATTTATTATAAACTATATTTACATATACCAAATATATCACAAAAACCTTTTATTTGTTTGTTTAGAAGATGGATGACATTTTGTTTTGATGCCTAAAAATGATTTGTTACGCCTGAAATTATATATAATTATAATAATTTCATCTAAATTTATAGAAATTGCTTGAAAAGAAGTTTA